TTCTCTTTAAATTGCTTTTAATGCTTGAAAAAGATGGTTGGTGAATGGCAATAAGTTCTCTTAGCTTTTCTTGCTCTTGTTTGTAGTAGAAGGCTTCATTTATAGGTAGGAAGAAGTTAACAACCGTTGCCTTGTATTTAATGCTTCAAACTTGTAAAAATATCAGATAAAATATAGCTGTTAGGGCTTTTTGAGCATCAGGGGATCGATCCCCTTCTTTAGGGATCGATTGAGTCAATTAGGAAAAGGCCCAAAATTGTGCATGAAAAGCTCTACCCAATCAATCAGGTAATGCACCTGATCGATCCATTCATTGGGTGGTCGATCCCCTATATGAGGGGATCGATCCTTTTTCTAGATTTTTGAATGAACAGAACATTTTGCATGAACAACTAATCGATCCCTTTAAAGGAAGGATCGATCCTATGCTTAGGTGATCGATCCCCTATGTTAGAGGATCGATCTTTTTTAAAAAATTTTAGGAGATGAGAACATTTTGTGTGAAAAAGTAATCGATCATTTTAAGGAAGAGATCGATCGAGTAAGCTTAAAACCGTAACCAATCGACCCCTAATTCCATTATGTTGATGGTAAACTCATAACCTCATGAACAATTTCAGGCATATATATGCCATGTTCTATATAAACATCTACTATACCATTATCTAACAATATTCTATCACATGAAGAGTAGTTTCATCATCCCAAACTAATCTAAGTCCATCATCAAGTCTAAAACCAATCTTTAAAAAAAATTCTCCTAATGTTCATAAATCTAACATCTTCACAAACATTTAGTAACTCATAAAACCAAACATTGTCTGTGTCAAATGTCAAGTCTTCAACAATTTCATTTATATACCTCAAATTTTGACTCACTTCAACAAATATTCCTCAATAGTGAAATCTTATTGTCACCAATTCAAAACTCATATCTATTAAAAAATAAAGAAAAAATATTTCATCAAACCATAAACATTTATTTATTCAAAATAAATCAAATAACTACTAACTAATTAAGTACGATCATACTTTTGTCAAAGCCCATAAGAAGAAAAACACTAACCTGAAATTGACAAATACCCAAGAGTTTAGAATGCTTAGTACACTCGATTTCTTTTTAATCTTCTTGTTAGGAGACACGATTCGAGTCAATTTCTCCTTAATCTTGCTTTGAGGAATCATGATTTCTTCATAATCTCTCCTAAACCAATTTTGTTTTTGAAACCCTAACTACCCTAATCCTAAGTCCCCTTTTTCACAATACATTTGGGTTTTTTTTTTTCAATGGCTATTTTTACTTTTAGTTTAAGAGTGTTTTACTATTTATTAGTATGCAAAACAAATATTCACATTATTTTTTTACATGTGTAATCCACAGCCATAATAGAACCCTAATTTAAAAACATGCAAAAACGTTAAATCTTAAATTGAATCCAATTAAAGCTGAGATCCTTAATTGAGAAAAAACACAAATGTTAGATCCATAATTGAGCATTTAGCCAAAAAAAAATTTTATCAAATACTACATTTTTTTTAAATAAAAAAACATAGTTAAAATTATCGTAAATATTTTATTTATTACTACGTTTTCATCCTAAGAAACATCATTGAAATTAAAAATATCAAGTTTATTTTATTATTATTTTAAACGATCAATTATTTTTCATATGTAAAAAATGTAATGTTTCTAAAAAAATTCAAAATCCTAAAATTTAAAAAATCTACTATGTTTTTTCTTTTAAAAATATTGTTTTTATTATAATTAATCTACTATGTGTAAAAAAATCAAAATCCTAAATTTTAAAAAATCTATTATGTTTTTTTCTTTAAAAAATATTATTTTTATTGTAATTAATATATTACGTGTCCAATCATTACCAAGTGTCTAATCATATGGCTAGAAATGCAGTTTTACTTAATCGTGTAGTTAGAAATGCAACTTTTCATGTAAACATGGATCTCAATTTATCTTGCAATTATGTTGATTTTTAAAGGTAAAATAGACCATAACAAATTATTATTGTGGTCTAAAATGGACAAAATTTATTTTCCTTCAAGAATCTTAAAAAAACCTAAAAGAGTGTTGGGTTTCTGATTTTAGGCTATCACCCTCTTTTTTGGACACTATTGAAAATCTTAGAATACCTAAGAAATTAGATTCCTTAAACCAAATTAAGGAATCCAATTATGAAAACCAAGATTCCAATTAGCAATCTAACTTTCCCTCAAACCAAATGTCCCACTAATGTTTACTAAAGATGAACGTGAAATAAATTTCAAATGATGAGGAACACATTGCTTTGGCTAGATTTGTATTCAAGAATAAATATAATGCTAAAAGTTTAAATAGCTCAACGAAAAGTGAATATTGAACTAATATGTGGTTATCACAATGTATGCAAAAACAGTGGTGGTGGTAATGTTATTTTCATCCAAAGCCTAGTAGGAAGATGATTTTCTAAGCTAATTTTTTACACAAATTTGTTTTAAGTAATTTTGATTGTTGAGCATTGTTATTTTGGATCTAACTCAAATAGTAAGGGTGAAGTGGAAAAGAAGTTGTAGACTTAGAATAGGGAAACATGTTGCAAATGCTGTGATTTAAATTTTAGATCTGCTTACGTAGATACATGAACTAATTAGATTAAATTTCATGTTTGGATCTTCCTTTTTTTTTCATTAATGAAGTGAAAAGGAAAATAAGATTACATGTAAAACTCACAAATATTGATTACAAATACAAGCAAATTGGATTATGTAATTTAGTTATGGCTTTAATACCACCAAAATGAAATTAAATCAACATATAATTGAAGCAAAACCTACAATCAAAGTATGGTACATAAATTTTGCATTTTGCAAACAATTTTGCTTATTAAAACAGACTACACCAAAAATTCGTGATCCAAAACAAAAGTATATAGCAAGTAAAAGGTTAAATTATAGTAATAGTCATGTACTTTAATAAAATTTAAATTTTAGTTATTCTATTATAATTTATAGAAATATAATCCTTATACTATTTTAATTTGAAAATTTTAGTCCAATCACTAATTCTGTCAAATTTTTTTCGTTAAAAATGTTTACATAATCATTGATTTGATGGTTTAAGTATTGACTTTACTAATGTGGCATTGACTTTACTAACGTAGCAACATGGATTAATGAAATCAGAGATTAAATTGCGAAAATAATCCCCATACACGAAATTTAAATATTAATCCTTCTATTATAATTTATAAAATCTAGTCCTCGTACAAGTTGAATTTATTAATGTTGATCCAATCACTACTAGAAAATGGAGTGTTATAGACGAAAATTTCGCAAATAATCTTCATTTTCTGTGGACAATGTTATTACCTACAAAATAATTTCATTAGTATAAGCATTATTTGTAATACAATCTCATTGGTATTATAAAATTACTAATGTGATCAATTATTCATCATTAATTTTGCTAACATAACTATATATAATAATAAAAATTATTAAAATACAAACATAATATGAATTATAAAATATATTTAAATTTTAAATATGTACATGACACGTTTAATATACTTATTACTAATTAACACAATATAATTAATACATATATAATTTATTTATTTAAATATGACACAAATAAACACGAATAATACAAAAATACATAAATTGATATGTTAATATAAATATACACGAATAGATATAATTAACACGAATATATATAAAAACACGAATAAAATAATAAATAATTATAAACTATTCATCATTTATAACTTAATAAATTTGACATATTAATATTATAATAAAGTACTTACATATTAAAAAAACAAATTTTAATACTCATTTAATATATATTTAATATATATTTTTTAATTTTAATTAATATTAAATAACTATATTAATTTTTAGTATCAATTTAAAAATGATAAATTATTAAAGATTAAAATATAAAATAATAATGTATAGAACTAATATTAATATTTATATTATATTTGTATTATTAACATAAAAATAATTTTATAATAATTATTAAATAAGTATCGTAATTAAAATGTTTAAAATAATTTTTATATGAAATTAAATCTAATTAAGTATCATAATTAAAAAATTAAAAATTAAAATAATATTTATATATTTATATTAAATTAAAATAAATATAAAAAATGTGTTAAATGTATTAAACTTATTAAAAATATGCTTGTATGATAAAATTAAATTAAATATGTTATTTATATCGTATTATGTGTTTAACCGAATCAACATATATATTACATGAATTATATCGTATCGAAATTCGTATTGATACAAATAAATATAAAATATATTTTTTTAAACATATACGATTTTTTTTATATCATTTTTATGTAATATCATTGTATCTGAAATTGTTAAATCTACTTCTAAATGTATTTTAATCCCAACATCAACAACAAACAATAATTCAATGGAAAATAAAATGAAATTTTTAATTCGATTAATTTATATAATTATTTTTTAAAAATAATATTTAATAAATTTAAAATTTAAACTCTAATACCTACAATCTATTTTGTTATCTTCAAATTCCAATTTTTTTTTGTAAAAAAACCATTAACTTTGATGTGCTCATAAAATATTGTCTCTTAATTTCATTAATCAAATCCCGAACAAAAATTCTTATTAGGGCACCCGTTCATCTCTCAACTTTGACCATTGCCTCAAATTACTGTTTGAATCTTGAATCCCCAATATCTTAAAGAAAGGAGCTGTGCACAAGCATGAAATGAATCAATTAACTCCCTTCACAAATATTACAATTTTCGCCAAAAGCGTAACATGAAACTATTGCCATATTCAATCACGAATCATCCCATCATCAAGACTTAGGACAAAGTTGCTTTACAATAGGACACATTCAAGTATTCTTTGGGGAGATTTTGCAGTCCATTGTATCCCAAAAGATGGAAACAAATACAGATGGAGATAAATCCAACAGGGAAAAAACTGAGATTAAAGGACACTACAAATTGAGAAAACTTACTTAACGGCCTCTTAAAATAAATTATCTAAAACTTCAAAATTTAACTCAATTAATTCGTGCAACAATTTTGAAAAATGACATCCAACATGTTTACAATTCAAATATAAGTATCTGAAACCATTTTCCGTATCTTCAGATTGCGACCTCATTGTATGAAACAAAAAAAATTATCTAAATGGTTACAAAAATAATAAAACTAAGGGAACAGTAAAAAAATGATTCTGCTGCCAGAAATAAAATTTTGCCAATTCTGTCAGTAACTGTTGTCAAAAGTTAGTCACACGTAAAGATATAAATCAGTAATGCAAAGAGTGTAACATCCCACCAAATGCCAACCAAATGCTGTAAGAATCATGTCTTTCTTCACCTTTTTTTAAATCCCCACAAAGATATACCAAATTTTCCCATGATAGAAGGGAATATCCACAGTTTTTAGAACACAGCCCCAATTATCTATTTTTTTATTTCCTTTTTCTTCATTAACAGAAATGCAATTTTACGGATCAACGATTCTGACTCTTACCTTTCTTTGATTTGCTCTTCTCTCGCATCTTCTTTTTCTTTGCTTCAGCTGTAATCCAAGTGTAATCTGGAGGTATTGCAAATGGATCTTGAAGATCTTCTATCTTATTGTAGCAATGACTGGTTGGGCTAGGGCGGTGATATGGTGTCTTTAACCACTGAAACCAAGATGAACTTGAGGAATGCATCACTGCAGGGCTTTCTTGGCCAGTGGGGCTTAAAGGGGGTGTCGAGAACTCATCCACCGGTTGCAGTTCTTCAAACTTTGTAAAAGTAACCAATACTCTGATTGTTGGAATCACTGGGATAGCAACCTAATTGCAACCATTAGGATTTCTTAGTAAAATGTTAAAACAATATAATTGATGAGACATATCATTTGTCATTAACAATGTGCATATATTTCATACAGCGGCTTACGAAATCCTTCACAGATTTGTGGCTCTAGCATAACAAGTCTGGAGACGCACACCAAATGGCATATAACATGAACACCAAATATTTGACTGCATTGAGACAATCTTTAAGGATAATATAGATTCACCAAAGTAAAACCTAATAACTTGAAGAAACCCAGTAACATGTCTAACAGTAGACCAGCATAAACTTAAAGTTGACCACTCATTGTAATAGTAATTAACATGTTAATGATTCATTATTTGTTAAGGATACTCTGTTCTTTGTTCTAATTCAAATTTTTATGGTATTTTTTCTTTTTGTACAAAGGAGGCCACAGCCTAAGGATAAGAGAAGAGGTTGCAGATGCTGGGATTTAAAACCGATACCTGCTGAATGCCACCTCTTAAGGGCGTGTGACCTAAGCTCAGGGTTCTACTAACAGCACTTTAAATTATGTTTTCCAAATACCAATCAATAATTTCCATATTCCAAATTAATCTTTACTACCTCAAGCAACAAGACAACAAATGTATAGCCAGTATATTAACATTTACATCAATCAACAACTCCTTACACACATATAATCATAAACAGAATTACCAATCAAAAACTTCTCTAATAAATTAGGTAACTTCTATTCTTAAAGAGTATTTTCTAGAAGTCTTAATAAAATATGTATAAGATTAACTGAAATTACCTTTTATAAATTTTGTTTACAAACATAAACATATAAATACAGCATTTTGATTGTAAAACAGGGATGCCATCACAAAAATAATACCAAGTGTGATATCTTTATGCCAATATGTTCTTCATCTCCTCTACTCAAATTCAATGTGCATGAAAGTTTAGGGCATTGCTTGTGAGACATTGCGAAAGAGCACGGGAGCAAAGGTCAAAGGAACCTCAAAAAGCCACAATCATGTTAGAAACCAAGTACATTATTATTCTGGTACACCATTAGACTCAATATGGACAAATAAACACCTAAAAGACATTCAAACATGTACGCTGTCATATTCTGGAAATAGGTATAGTTTAGTGGAATCCATGATGTAGCTTCAGAGCAGAATAATAAATTAACCAAAAAAACAAAGACATACTTTTAGACCCAAGAAGCATATGCCTAGAAACATTAAAATTTTCTGGACAGAATTGTCAGTATATTGAAGATTAGAATTAACACCAAACAAGTGACTCCAGCATTTAAATGCCTGGAAAAGTGTATATGAACAAAAAGAGAAAAGAGAGAAAATAAAAACTTAAATCAAGATCTTCTAATGCAAGAAGAAATAAGTAACAGCAGAGTTAAAAAGGACTGCAAGAATTGAGCCTACAGCAAATGCCAATTCAACCAGCCAAAAACCAAAGAGAGTAAACAAAGCATGAAAAGAGAAAACCAGAAAGCAATACCGCCATGCACATGAACATATGATTTCCATTTCATTGCCTGCAGTGAGAAACCTATATGGATAAGTCCCTCCTACACTTAGATCAATGGACACCAAACTTGAAACAGGTTGCCAAAAAAGTCAAAGATTTCACAGATCATGCACCTTTTAGTTGGATAATGATGGGCACTGGAAACTAATGTAGGACCATCAAAATCTTAAGAGAGAAGTTTTGAGGAAAACAGCACCAACTAAAGGAACAAACTAAGATATCATGGTCCCTGTCGTAACAGTTTTGGGGAGCGCTAAACGAATTTGGAAAACAAAAGAAATGGAATCACTACCAATCTCTTTTGGTTAAGTGTGATTGGTCACCTATTAAAACTTATCATTTTAATAAAAATTTTAAAATTAATTAAAATTTATTAAAAAGATAATTTTTGGGTCTACGTAAAAACAATTTAGGTTCGAAAGTTGATTATGTATGAGGAAAGATTAACACCCCCATGATATCCGTTTAAAACGGTATCAATTAATTATGTATTATTTTTTAATATTGATAAAAATGATCTTAATTTTTTGTATTTAAAATTTAATTCTCAAAATTCTCAAAAATTCTATCCTCGATGGTTCATATTTATTTTCATAAAATATGATAAAAACAAATAGTATTTTCTAAAAACTCATTCCTACGCTATTTATAAAAGAACAATAAATCTTTATCGAAAATTAATCTAAATGCTCTAATATTGGTAGCATTTTAAATAGATTTTTTTACCTTAAAAGATCACTACTCAGATTTCTTTAAAATCTCACCCTTAGAGATTTTCGTCCATTTTTTATAAAAATATTAAAAGTTAAGTAATAATAACATTATCAACAAATACATTTATTTCCTAAAAACACTCTTATTTATTAAGAAATATTGTTCAAATTATAAAAAATAATCATAAAATGAAAATTTTTTGTGTTGAAAAGAAATTTTTAAATATTCCAATACTTTGGGAATTTATAAAAGACTTTTCTCACCTAGAAAATTTTCGAAAATTACCACTCAGACTTCTTGGAATCTCATCATCGAAAATTATCACTACTTTAAAATCATGTGATATCATTATCTATAAACAAATTTATTTTCAAAAGTGTATATTTTCATATAAAATTACTCAAATTGAGAATAATTATAAAATGAAATCTTTCGTATTGAAAAAAGGCTTTTAAATATTTCAAAACTTTGGCAATTTTTACAATATTATTTCTCACCTAGGGAATTCTCGGAAATCACTACTCAAATTTTTTGAAGTCCCATCATCGAAAATTTTTATTTGCATTTAAAACTATATAATGCAAACAATAAAGTAGAAACACTTATTATGTTTTAATCTTCTAATTATTTTTCAATTATCATGTTTCGAAAGGAACAAAGTAAATAAAAATTTATATTGAAAATTTTCCTAAATACCCCGATATTTTGATAGATTTTTTAGAAAAATTTTCTCACCTAAGAATTTTTTAAAAATTTTTACTGAACTTCAGTAAAATCCCATCTTTGAAACTTTCGTTCGCTTTTTCCTTTCTTACTTAATTAATAATTAATTCTAATCTTTAGTTTTGATTAAAATTTGTAATAAAATTAGTTGATCATAATATTAGTCATCATATATTATTCTCAATATACAATAATCTTAGAAAAATAGATAAACGAAATTTTCGTACTAAATAATTTTTTAAATAATCCATTACTTTGATAGTATTTTTAGAAAAATATTTTTACCTAAAGACTTTAAATAATCACTTCTCGGAATTCCTTAATATCTCATCATCGGCTAAAAAATTTCCTTTATCCTTTCTATTTTTATATTCCATGAACAAACACTAAATAATAGGCATGTAACCTTGCATTTTTCTTCATTCATAAGTACATTTTAATCAACTATAGATCCTAAAGAACAAACATAAAATGCAAGGTAACTTACTGCAAAAAACTGAATAAAATGACATGGAAACAATCCCCCAAAATCCAACATTCATATGGAGGATGAAAGAAAAATAGATGAAATGCAAGTGATGTAAACAGGAGGTCTTAAACTATCATGAAACCATAGTAAAATAACATGAAACTAAATTAAAATAACAAGCAAATAGTAACCAAAACAAGCTCAATAAACAACATAAACAAGGGCTGGCAAGAAATAAAATCAAGTAGAACCATAGTTAAATAGCAAAGAAAAGGGTCAAGCATTCAAGAGTCTGAATGATGAACAAGAGTCCATCCAACTATCAAAAGCCATCCTTCTCAACAAGAAACAAGCTCAAAGTAAAGTAATTTAAACTTGGAAAAATAGAAGAACCTAAGTTGACCAAAACAGGAAATTCCATGGATTAAGGTATAATAAACAAAGCTTAAATGACGAACAATATGCAAGTGCTGGAAAATAACATAAAACTGAAATTTAAAAGCAACAAAATGAAGAAGAAAACAGCTAAAATAAAGCCAAGAAACCAAAGCAAAGTCAGCAAGAATGCTGTCTGCTATAGCGGTTTACAAAGAAGAACCGAAAATGTAGGCATGCAGAAAGCTACCACAAATTTCGATTCTCCTTTGTTCAAGAGATCCCCCTTTCTTTTTTCGTTCTTCCTTCTCCTCTCCATTAGCCTCCTTCCTCTTCTTTAGCAATCGACAGCCCTTCTCCCTAACTATTTCTCTCCTTTTTTTTTTCCTCTCTCTCTTATTTGGCTTTACTTCTTTCTAGCAGTCTCTTTCTCTTTTTTTTTTTACGTGTTTTTTTGCTCCCCTTTCTTCTAGCCTCTTTTGCAACTTCCAGCACCCCTCTTATCCCATTCGGCATATCTCTCCCAAAAAAAAGATCTCAATCTTAGTCAATATAGTCCCTTGGATGAAATCTCATCAAAGGGTCAAAGTTTCTCTCCTTTCTTTTTTTCAAAAAATCACCTTTGGCCATTGGATCAAAATCAATAAAAGATTCAATGGTCCATATTATTCATTGCAAATGTTAAATTTTTATGTCCTCCAAACCTATGAAACGACCATTTTACCCCTAATGCAAAGTTTTCGTTCTTTATGTGCCTTGATACCTTTTTCCCTCATTTTACCAAAATGATATACAATTTGGAACCAAAATGCCATACAATTTGGAACCAAAATGAGCCTTTTTGTGAACTGTGCACTCAAATTTTGGACATCCCATACGACTTAATTTTCACTATCATAAGAATCTTGAGTAAGAAAACAAGATGGGGCATCAATCATGCAAAAATGATTAATGATTGTAACAAAAATAAATAAATAAAACAACAAAAACAGAAAACAAAAATGAAAACAAAAACAAATAGAAGCTTTTTATCTATACATTGCTTTTCTAACTAAGTGATCATATTTGAAATAATGAATGACCATCTTTTTCTATCCTTCGCTTATAGAAAAATTATTCATTTACTACCCATTTGAGCCTATTAAATTTATTATTTCCAAAATGAACCCTGGCCAAGGATCATTTTTTTAC